TGACACCAAAAAGCTTCCCAGCGAGTGTCTGTCTGTGACCACGATCTCGCCTAGAGGAAGCCACGACCACGTGTCAGAGCAGGGAAGGTGGCTGCGGGTCGTGTTCATCACCCGATGCGGAGTTTGCAAACGGAAGCAAAATTTTGTGAACGCTGCTGTTCGCGAATCAAATTGTTCATGAACAGAAGCATTCGTGAACCGAATGAGATTCTTATGGTTTGAGGGGGTTTTGCACTAACTTTAGTTACAAAGCGGCCTCTTCATGCACCTGTGCTCCCTTTTTATTATACAAGAACCTCTTTGATGTTCTGTCACTTCAGTGGCAACTCACTTTTCATTCAGGAGGAAACTCTTGAAGACATTAGGATGTAACTCCTTCTATGGGTTGTTTTCAGAGCAGGAGTCCTGGGGAGTGACAGAGAGATGCATACCAAAAAAACAAAAACAAGAACAGCATTTTCAACTCTCCTGCAGCAAAAAAGGAACTTAGAAATACAATAAAAAGAAAGTTTTGTCCGTGTGAGTGTATATGCATGCATGCATAAAGGAGGATTTGTTTCTTATTTCAAACATTTTATTGGAGAAAAAAATGTTTCCTAACTCCTGTGTTAGTATCCATCTTACACTATTGGCACAATGTTCCTGCAGTGAAATAGTTTTGCAAATCAGTGCAGAAATACTATCGCCATCTCCTCTTTGTTTATCCCTAATTGTTTTCATTAGCTGTTTGTGACATATTAGCAGCCTCTGAGAAAAGAAACCTTCCTTGACTTTACTAACGCGTCTAGGTTTAGTTTCCTAGAATTTATTGCAACTCACTACAAGTGTCCAAGTGGTTAAAAAAAAATCTTACCTCATTTTTTTGGTTAATTTAAATATACTTTCCTCTTGCTGTCTTAACTGCTAGAGTTCATTCTCCAGCAGTAGGATTCTGCTGTATATAACATAAGCCCCTCTTTTTGAGTAGACATGTAGAATCACTTAGAGATTTTATAAAGCAACATATTTTTCACAAAGCCTCTCAGCGTACACTTGATCGTATCACTAAAACTAGCTGCATAGAAGCAAGTGAAAATAAAGCATGACACTTTTCCTCCGAGACCTTGAGGTGGCAGCAACACTACGTTTAACTTCTGTCATATGTTTGGAGTGAGAGGTTCTGTGTGTGTGTGTGTGTGTGTGTTTTAAAAGCACTAAATCAAAACAATTCTATTTGTTATCATTTTATAACTCACACATTAAGTCAATAAAAACATGTCTGGAATGTCATTTGCATTGTATGTAATTTTTACTAGTTTATCA